GGATTGGTTTTAGAACAAGTATTGCGGTACACACGCACACGCCAAACAAAGGCCATATGAATAATCTCACGTGCCTCTGTGCGAGTCTGCCGCCGCTCACCACACGCACACGCTAACCACGAGCTACACGCATGGGCGAGCGCAAACACGTGGGTAAATACGCACTCGTGCGCAAACACAGAGCACAATGACGCAGGAACTTCGGTCGGGTGCGCACACACTGGCCGCCTCAATAGAGTTATTCGCGCGCAAATCTCCGTTTCACGACGAGCGGACTCACACCACCATGCGCTCTTCCCACACTCGCAGACACCACACGACAAGGTTATTGATCACTAACAGTTTATTCTCAGTGAGTCCGAGGCTAAATATTACGTAGCCCGGAGTCAATATTAGTAGAATAATTAACCTATTCCCGACGGTCTAAGACCCAATCTGTCCTGTCTATTTCGAATTAACCTCCCTAGGCTTTTACGCTAAAATCCCAACTCTCTCTTTCCTACTCACGGTTCGGCTCGGATGCGTGGGCAGTCGAGGAGAGACGGGGCTGCACGAAGTTCTTGCTGGGAGCTGGGCCTGGCTGAGACTCGTCACACGGCTGACCCAGTGGCCGACAAGCTGACTGCTCCGAAGGCTGACTTGAGGAGAACGCAAACTGCCCATCGTCGCTCTCCTCTCCCATTTTATCCTTCTCTACATCAAAGAATCCCTTGGCTAACCCGCGATCCTTCACGGCCATTGGCGCGCCCGCTTCAGTGCCCTCAGTGCCGTCCGCTTCCCTCTTCGCACATCAAAGGGGCCGCAGCTTGGCCGTTGCCATTGGCCGCGGTGTGCAAGCATACTTTTCCGGCCAATCAGGTGCTTACCCTGGTGTCTATCAGGTTCTTTAAACATCCTGACCTGCGCAGCCAATCAGGCGCCTACCCGGCTGATTCTGCCCTGTGTGTGCTGCATCATCGCGGTGGCTGGATGGCCTGGCCGTGACCTGTGATCGTTAATTCACGGCGCCGCATTGACATTTAACCTTGGGGAAGCCTCGGCCAATTTCCTGGCCCCAGGAAACCGTGGGGGATGTCCCCACGAGGAGGGCCCCTGGGTGAAAACCTGGAGGCCAGGTGGCCTCCCCACGAGGTCCTACGTGAGGGTGTGTGTGTGTCCTACGTGGGGGTGTGTGTGCGTGCGTGCTCATGTGTGGGGTGGTGAGGGAGAAGCAGTGTCGGCCAGGCTGCCTTGTTGTGGTGGCATCGCAGGCGCGGCGCCGACAGAGCGGCTTCGCTGCTGTGGCATCACAAATGTGTGTCCCACGCGTGACGTCACTCCACACGAGGCCCACCTCCCAAGCGTGACGTCACTCCACACGAGGCCCACCCCCCTCATTAATATTCACGAGTGGGTGGATTTTTACACTAACGCAGAGGAAGTTTGAGCTGAATTAAATAATTGATTACGCAAAGTCGCTTCAAATATGACGTTTCTTTCTATCTACGCAACACAGTGCTACATCCAACATGCCGCATCCCACCTCATTAATAACCATTAGCGGGTGACGTCACTCCACATGCCGCACCCCTCCACAATAACCATGAGCGGGTGACGTCACTCCACATGCCGCACCCCTCCACAATAACCATGAGCGGGTGACGTCACTTCACATGGGGCAACCCCCCCCCCCCCCCCCCATTAACAATCATGAGCTGAACAATTTTTCAATTGAATATTTCAGATTTACTGCAATATACACCTGTCCTTGGACGGGCAAAAAAGCTAGTGTAATATAATGTTAAGGCGAGAGCCGAGGGTTTATGGGACCCCGGGGTCCCGCAATAAGGTTCAATTGCCAAGGCGCCGTCACCCTCAAGTGTGAAGCCTAGAGCCCGTGGAACAGTGAGCAATGCACAATCTGAGGATCTTAACGATCTTGATGGAATATATTGGCTGAAGCATGCATGTCATTAATGCAGGGAGGAGCAAGTCCAATTACGGCCTTGAATGCCAGTGTAGTGAGTCCAACCCGTTAACACAAAGGGGTAACTGCCCCTTCACCAGATACAGCCGAGGGTGGTGACCACCCAGCTAACTACTCGATACGTAGGAGTTACAGCTACGAAGGGTCAGACCCTCGGTGAGTGAGAGAGCTTCCAGCTTGTGCACGTGGAGCTTCCAGCTTGTGCACGTGGAGCTTCCAGCTTGTGCACGTGGAGCTTCCAGCTTGTAGAATGCAGCGACCCCGGTCCTTCTCAGGGACCCACCTTATATCCTCCTCCCGAGTCGGGGCCGCTCAGCCCTTGGCCGCTGCCCGCTTTCTCGAGCGTTCTAGCTCCCTCTCGATCCTTCTCGACAGCTCTCCCCGGACACGTGATCACCCCTAGCCCCCCCCCCCCCTACCTGGGGCCCTCTCTGTGGACACTCCAGATCACGTGTCTACGGGGTCAACTAGAGTGCCATGGCCCGGGGCAACCCTGCCTCTGGGCTGACACTCCACCGCTCCCCCTTGTGGGAGCCCGCAATGCGTGCTATGCGTGGTGCCCGCGCTATCCCAGCGCTCACCAAGCCCCGCTAGGGCTGGTACTACACCCATCTACGGGGTGTACGTGATGACGGTGCACCGCACGCCGTGCTGTGCTAGAGCCGGCCTCACACAGCAACCCACCCTGTGCTGTCCGCGACGTAGGGACATCGCACGCCACGACCCTCTCGGGCCGGCCCCATACAGTGACATCCCTGATGTCACTACACCAGCAAGAGAATCTTACAATCAAAAAGGTTACGGACAGGGAGCCAGTGAGGGGACAGGAGCACAGGTGTGATCAGTGCCGGTTCATCCTCGTAGCAAAAGTAGCTACATGTGTAGTAGCTGCATCTGTAGTAGTAGCTACATGTGTAGTAGCTACATGTGTAGTAGCTACTTCTGTAGTAGCTACTTATGTAGTAGCTACATGTGTAGTAGCTGCATGTGTAGTAGCTACATATGTAGTAGCTACTTATGTAGTAGCTACATGTGTAGTAGCTGCATGTGTAGTAGCTACATATGTAGTAGTAGCTGCATGTGTAGTAGCTACATGTGTAGTAGCTACTTCTGTAGTAGCTACATGTGTAGTAGTAGCTACATGTGTAGTAGTAGCTGCAGGTGTAGTAGCTGCATGTGTAGTAGCTGCATGTGTAGTAGTAGCTACATGTGTAGTAGCTACATGTGTAGTAGCTGCATGTGTAGTAGTAGCTACATGTGTAGTAGTAGCTACATGTGTAGTAGCTGCATGTGTAGGAGCTGCATGTGTAGTAGCTGCATGTGTAGTAGTAGCTACATGTGTAGTAGCTACATGTGTAGTAGCTGCATGTGTAGTAGCTGCATGTGTAATAGCTGCATGTGTAGTAGCTGCATGTGTAGTAGCTGCATGTGTAGTAGTAGCTGCATGTGTAGTAGTAGCTACATGTGTAGTAGCTGCATGTGTAGTAGCTGCATGTGTAGTAGTAGCTGCATGTGTAGTAGTAGCTGCATGTGTAGTAGCTGCATGTGTAGTAGCTGCATGTGTAGTAGTAGCTACTACATGTGTACTACATGTGTAGTAGCTGCATGTGTAGTAGCTGCATGTGTAGTAGTAGCTACTACATGTGTAGTAGTTACTTCTGTAGTAGCTACATGTGTAGTAGCTACGGGCCCCGCACTTTCAAGGGCCCCGCGATAAACGCTTTCAAGCTATAAATTCCGGTTCAGTGATTCTGCACTTGCTCTATTACTATAGTACTACACTGCCTTCAACTTTTATGAACGACTGGGTGTTTAAGGTTAGCGATTGTTCGTATTATCTGGCCGTATAGCAAATGGAAAAACCCAATTACTTTACTATGCAAGTAAAAAAATCGTGTTTTAATATTTATGTGTTTATTTATTTATTTAGGGCCCCTTTATAACATATGCTACAGGCCCCGCACTAGCTTAAGCCGAGCACTGGGTGTGATGTGATCCTTAAAGGGTGTAACAGTTAGCACACTGGTGGCCGCAGTTTGAACCAGGGGCGGAGCCAGGATTTTCAGCCCGGGGTGACATTCAACAAATGTTAATTTAAAGAATGATTAAGAGAGAGTCAGGCTGTTGAACTAGACGCCATCGGTTGGCGACACACTCTGACAATGCAGTTGCACGGAGTCCGCCAGACCGAGTGTCGTACACTTACACACAGAATGTCACCCCTGTCACCCCCCCTGGCTCCGCCCCTGGTTTGAAACAACATACTGCAGCCTTTTTAGGAGTTTGCTCGGGGCCACCAACAAGCAGGGCATTACAGTCGTCAATGCCGGCGAAAACAAAATGCGTGCATCAGTCTTTCAGTGTTCGCAGTGTTAGGGATGTGAGGCTGCCGGGATATGTTTCTCTGCTTGAGACACTGTTTGTCGATACGGGCCCAGTTTTTCTTGTACATGAATCAATGCGTGATGACGGGGGGGGGGGGGGGGCGGGTGAGAAATGCGCAACTTTAAATAAATATAGACAACACGTTCTACTTAATTAAATAGATTTTTAAATAAATGTTTTCTTTTACAGCATCAGAGTGCAGCGCCACATTAAATACGCACTACAATGGCAATAGTTTAAAGCGATTTGAAGCATGTTTGATATTTTTTTTGGCGGGCGGGGGGGGGCAGAGCTTTGTGACGTCATATTTGAGGGGGGGTCTGACTTTTTGTGACGCCGTGTGACTAAGGGGGGGGGGGGGGGTAAAAAATCGTCCAAATCGCGTGACGTCATTTATGGACGGCCCCTTTTGTGCCAGAACTGTTTTAATCGCTGCATCTTTGCATTGGTCGTCTCCACCGGATTTGTTATCTCTCCTTTAGCTGCAATTCCATTGCACCAGTCGTATCAGCGGCCTTATTAAATGTGCGGCCTACAAACGTGGAACGTCGGCCCAACGTCGGCATGTTTACTGGGAGGACAGGCGCGCTTTGTGGCTTCTAAATCCGTTCTCACAAAAACACCCCAAAGCGTGCATTTTCAGTTTTTTTCATTTACCCCTCGTGTGCATTAGTGTTTTTACACAATAATTTACGGAGTAGTTTTCAACTGTTGCATTGTTTGCTTTGATGGCTCCGAGTCCGTGCCTGGTGAATTTATTTTTAAAGTTACGAAGCTCCGGCCTCGTCCATCAGCCCCATGTCCTTCCCGAGCCAATTAACTTTTTATTATCCATACATAACACAATGCCATGCTTTGAAGTTCAGTCACGACAATGTATGACCCACACAGTGATGACTTCACATGAGTGTTGCTGTGCACGGTTATGCACGAGGCCCCCATCAAATTTTAACCAGGGGGCCAAGGCTCTGCAGACATTGGGGACTCCAAGCAGATTGAACAAATGAGATACGAGCTTTAGAATTGGCAAGATAAGCAGGGGGGGCGGTGGGCAGGAGGGTTGGGACATCAGAGCAACCTGCCACCCCCTTCCCCATCCCTCCCATATAGTGAGTCTCATTTGAGCACTGTGACCAGACATTTTCAAAGGGCAAGAGCGACCTGCTGACATTGAAAAGCCACCGGTGTTGTTTTAACGGAGCAGAGGACTGACTTGCCTTGTGTATCACTCAGCCAGCTCTGCTGACAAAGGCCACAATAGCGCGTTCCGTTTTCTTTATGGTCCTTGTGAACGGGCTGCCGGTGAGTTGTGCATTTCGGTGACGTATCTCGACGATTCGTGATAATACTGCACTGTCGTTTAATTGCGATGGACGGACATTGCTTGGGCATTGTACAACAATGTGTTGTTGTTGTATATTAAAGTGAATGTACTCCACGTGAAATGTAATGTGAGCATACGTGATTTACAGTTATATACAGCTTTTAAAAAATCTCAATGCAGAATTGAAGAAAATACAATTACAGTATACAGCAGCAGTATTACAATTCGCATCGTATGTGCTGTATTTTTATATCAAATAAATCACCCTAAATGCACTCAATCTCCACAGATATCAGAAGCTAAGCCGGTATAAGTCTTCATAGTGCTTGGATGGGCAGCTATTGTTCACGCCCGTTGTTATAGGCTGTTGCAGGGCTACATTGTTGGTAGATGGTAATGCAGAAATGTTTCATTGCTGTACTGCACTTTTATGCTCCCACCTCTGCTCTCCCCATTTGTAACCTGCACAGACCCGCGTGGTGAATCCAGCAATGGATTGACAAATAAGTGTATAGACAAATATGTTTGCTCTCATCACATCTCTTTGCGCTTGCAGCACAGTTCAGGATAAAACCACACAAGGTGAAAAAAACCACCAAGCTCTTTACTCAGGAAAGCCTAAATACACCTCCAGGTTATCTCTCCAGTGTCCCGTTGAGGATGTTTGGCCGATTTATTTGTTTTGTTTATGAGTGATTTGCTTGTGGGAGTTAAATAAAGAACGTGGATGATCAGGAATGGAGACCTCGTGTCAAAAGCACTGAGCTGTCACTGCTGACACACAGGCTTGGCTTGAAATTCAGGGAGCTACCTGTGATTAAACTGGGTTTTCAAGTGCTACGTCTAGAGAGTTGTTCTCAGTCCAGTCACCAATGACTCCAAAATAAACCCGATCACGTGAAAATTTATTCTGCAATTACTTTGGCTGAATTTCATCTCGAAGAATAATAAACATATATATCGGTCCGAGTGACATGCGACAAACAATTTTGTATTTTTAAGGACAATTCCTGATATCTTTGTCTGCATTGTACGATCATTTACATAATTACGTAATGATTTAACATGGCTTCATACTAACAAAAGTGACGTCATCAGATGCCACGTGACACCAATTATTCTGGGAAAGGCACAAAATTGCGATGAAAACGTTAAGTAATTTCCTGTCATACTTTCATTATACCCTTACAGAACTTGCCAATTAACATAAAAAATACGTATTTAATTACGTAACATTTCGAATGCTGGCCTCGATTTCCGGATTTTTCAGACTGAACAAAAAATAAAGAACACGTGCCTCGGAGTAAGCCTCAGTGGGGTGTGGCAGTGCCAAAGTCAGTGGCTTTAGCCACGATAGTCGTGCGAACACTGGCGCCTCCCAGGACCTGGGTTAGATTCCAGACTCGGGCACCTTTCTGTGCGCAGTCAAGGATCCCAATGCAAGGAACTCTCCCGTGAGAGCATCTTTGGATTGTGAGGCTTTCCTGGGTATATAAGAATTATACTAAGATACTTAATTATATTATTGCAATTCTAATAATTATTATAAGTTGAGGGCGAACATAGGGGGCCCAGTAGAGCGGAGACAGGAGATAAATTTGACGAACACCACAATAACACTGCAATGCGGATTTCGATAATCACAATAATTTCCCAAGCTAATGTCAACTCTCACTGTCCTGCCACCTACACTCAAAGCTGATTTCATCGCTCCATCTCTGTAGTGGACGTCCTGTTCCCTCATTTGTAAGAAACACATTTTTTTTAAAGCTACAATGTTACAACACAATGGTATTGGCCAAATATCCCGATGTCGAACTATAACCTGCTTGGCCATTACACAAAGCAACATCGTCCCCTACTGCAAAAACCTGGCAGGACCCTCCTGAATCAAAGACACTCGTTGAGATTTCCCTTGTTAGAGAAGTGTGGAAACAAACTATATTGTTCTTATTCTTAGCTCTTTCGGTAAAGTCACGTTGAAGGGAAACAATAAAATAATAAAATATTTAAAACAATAAAAATTCTCACGACGTTTCGACCATAACACAAACGGTCGTCATCAGGTGTGCCGGTTTGCATTAATTTATTTATTTTTAAACGGTGTATTTCTTTATTTATATAAAAAAAACGTCAGTGCCACGCGCAGCGATTGGCAGTTTATTTAGAAGGACTAGTCCATCTATGTTCTGAAAAGAGGAGGGGGGAGACGAAAAATTAATGTATGCTGTCTGAAAGCCACTGTAAGCGTGAACAATCAATTAAGACCTGAAATGGTTTATCAAATCCTTCCAATGTTTTATATATTATTTATTATTTTATTGTTTCCCTTCAACATGACTTTACCGAAAGAGCTAAGAACATGAATTACTGCAGTCACGAAAGCTTTAAATAAAAAAAACATATTGTTCTTATTATTATTATGGAATCCTGTTATTTTGACGTTGTGCTTGAAATCGCGCAGCACCGATGCTGAGGCCGCTTCTGCTCGCCGTGGCCCTGTGGGCCGGGCTGGCATGGGCCGGCTGCCCGCCCAGGTGCTCGTGCCGTGGCCGCATCATCCAGTGCCCGAAGCAGGACCTGGCGGGGATCCACTTCCACATCCCGCGTGACACCGAGGAGCTGTGGATGTCCTCGAACCGCATCTCCTCGCTGCAGGCGGGCGCCTTCCGCGGCCTCACGCGCCTCACCGTCCTCAACCTGGCCCACAACGAGCTCACCTACCTGCCCGCCGGAATCTTCGACGAGCTCAAGAACCTGCGCGTGCTCAATCTCAACAACAACAAGTCAGTGCGTGGTGGTATCGGTTCAGGCCTGTTTTAACAGTAATGACGATATGTATGGATATCGTATGTATGTTAAACTTATTTCGCACCATATGTAGCCAAGTGTGCTAATCCGAGGTGCGGGCAAGGACAACAAACTAAAATATATTAGTTGGCCTGCGGCCATATCTGCTGCACTAAAGCAATTCTGCCTGCTGCACGCATTTGATTCCATGCGTTCATTAACTCAAATCAACAGGGTGAGTTCAACCTCTGTAGACCCTGCTCTTTCCTCTTTAGGCCCTGCTCCTTCCTGATCAGGCCCCACCCCTTATTTTGACTCTGCACATTTCCTTATATGCTCTGCCCCTTCTTCTTTAGGCCCCACCTCTTTCTGTGGAGGCCCTACCCCTTCATCAGGGACACAGGGATGGGTTTGTTTGGGTGGTGGTGGGGGTTGTGGGAAGGTGGGGGGAGTGTGTGCCCAGAAGTGGGGAGCGATGGTGTAGCGGTTAGCGCGCTGCGCTACGAACCTGGAGACCCGAGTTCAGTTCCCGCTCTGAACTGCTCCTGGGCTTCTCCTAGGTCGACTCAGCCTCAATTGAGTACCTGGTGCGGTGTGTAAACATCGCCACTAGAGAGACAAAAGCGGTTGGGCGTGGTCCTGGCCACCCACCCCCTCGTGTACCGTTCTGGCCTTCATAGGTGCTCGCTAATAGCACTTGCCTTAACAGATTGTGAAGGCTATACGGGGGATATTTGTCTTTACCCAGCAGTCGGTAGTGGTGGGGCGGCTTTATGATGACCAAAATCTCTCTTTGAACAATATAATAGATTACTTATTCATCCAGGAAAGCCACACTGGGTCAAATTACTCTTATTCAGGAGATGTCCTGCTGCATTGGGCTTTCGTGATGAGATGTTTTCAGGCAATTAATGAGTTGTTTATTACATAAGGGGGGGGGGGGGGCAGGGGGAGAAATCGGAGCACCCGCAGAAAACTCACACGCACCAGGGGGCACCCGTCGATTATCCCCGCACAGAAGGAAATGATTCAACTTGCTGTACTGCCTTCTCCCGACGAGTCAGGGTACTGCACCTCGACGCCAAATGGAGGGAAGTTTCGCAATCTATGTGTGATCCACCAACCCTCCCTGCCTCCAGTGCTGGATTACAGGCATGCAGAGCCACCATCGCCCTCCCCCCCAACCCCACCCTTGTAGTTGTTGTTGTTTGAGAAGCGACATTGGAGTGGTCTCCACACGAGAACCAGCGGATCAGGGCTTCATTTCAGCCAGAATGGTGCAGAGCACTGTTCCACGAATTTCAGTGGCACGCCACATCCATCTCGCCCTATTCTGTCTTCGCAATACAATACAATTATTGCACACAATTTGTATGCACTTAGTTCATGGGATCGTAAGAATATTGGGTGCAATGAAATAGAACCGTAATGAAAAACTCACCGTGTCCGTCAAATGACACTGCCTTAATAGTGTGCATTTATAAGCGCGTATATTTCCTATTCGGGCAGCGTTATTGCCCAATGTGTTGGTTTTGTTGTTTGTTATGCGCACTTGTGCACCACTGCAAACGCATTGTGAACCAATTAATTCATAAAATCATTACGGATAAGAGCACCTTGTACTCTATCGAGTCACGAATACTGTTATAATTCAAGTTTATTCCTTTGAAACAAGCGAGAACTCAAGAGACCAGCGTCGAGTTTCATTTGCAACGCTGACTTGGGTCGCAGTGATCTGGGTCGCGCTTTTTCTTTAATTATCCGCTAAAAAGCGTCGCTATCTAGAAAGGTCCCCCCTCTGCGGATAACGGGACCTCTCCCTGCTGCACGAGCGGGGGGCGGTGCACAACGGGATTCGTCGCCTGTATTCGGCGCAGGCTCAAGTTCTTGCGCGAGGGCACCTTCGACCGGCTGCCCAAGCTCAAGGTGCTGCACCTGCACGAGAACCAGCTGCGCTCGCTGCCCGAGGGCTGCCTGGACCGGCTGGAGAGCCTGGAGGGGGTACATCTGCACGACAACCCCTGGGACTGCGGCTCCTGCACCGTGCTCTACCTGAGCCACTGGCTCAGTCAGAACACCCTCAAGGTGGGCGCGTACACACGAACGCTTCAGATTGTTTTGGGAACCGTCCGATGGTTGGGAATACATCTTGAGTCGAAATTCACTCTCCAGTCGGCGGTTGACATTTGAAGTGGGCTGCGACCCTCAAAGGAATGGCGTCTTCCCCCGTGCATCAGAGTCCTGCCAGATGACTTAATCGACGAATGACCCAACAAAACGAACGAACGAATTGTCGAACGGGCGAGTGAACGAATTTCGTTTCCACCACCTCTCGCAGGTGAAAGGCGCGCACTGGTCCACGGACCCCGATGCCGTTCGCTGCAGCGGTGGCGTCCGTGGCGTTCCCGGCGTTCCCGTGCGGAGCGTGGACACGGCCGCCCTGGGCGGGGACTCGCACTGCCAGCTCGGGGCGTGGGGCTCGTGCCCGGACGCTTGCTCGTGCGTGGGCAACGCGGTCGACTGCAGCTACCGGGGGCTGCCGAGCGTCCCCGCTGAGATCCCCGTCAACACGGAGGTGCTGTGGCTCAACGACAACAGCATCCGCAACGTGTCGGCCACTGCGCTCTCTAAGTACGCGGGCGCGAGCGGGTGGGCGCGTGAGTGGGCGTGTGATCAGGCAGGCAGACGGTAAGGCCCACTGAGCTGTATAGCTGTTTTTTTTTTCAGAAGAGACCTGGCCAAAAATGATAGTCCAAAAAAAGTGGCTTGTCACGTGGAAATTTATGGCAACCACGTAATCTCAAAGCATGCTTCTAAATGTGGAGGCAAAGACCGGAGGACTCGCAGAAAACTCCATGCGACCACGGGGGGAACACGCAGACTCCGAATATACAGGCACCAGGATCGGGATCGAACCCACAATCTCCTGTGCACCTTGCGAGGTAGTCAACATCTCGCCACCGTGGCGCCTCCATGCTGGCGAGACGACGGGCAGGCGGGCGAGCTGTCTGGCATTCAACAATACGGGCACCCCTTGGGGTGTTGGTGCAGGATGGTCACCCACCCATGCCGTAGTAGCGTTCATGTGGGCGCCCCTTTTGAACAGCGAGTGTTGTAGGCTGCGGGTGAATGTGGTGGGCAGCAGGAGGCAGTGCAGGAGTAGTTCCTGTTGTACGGTGCTTAATATTCTGCCACGAAAATTGGGCTTTTGATATTTACCAGAAAAATACGTTGAATGTTTTTTGTTCGTTCATACATAGGGTCTTTTTTTAATAATCTAGGGGGTGATGCACCGGCGAGATGTTATCTCCCTCGCCGAGTGTACAAAGGATTGTGGGTTCAATCCTGATCCTGACACCTGTGTATTTGGAGTGTGCATGTTCTCTCTCCCCGTGGCTTATGTGACTGGCGCTATTCGTTTGTTTTCGCTTCTGAAAAATAACTAATAGCTCAGTGAGCTTTGCCAGATAAATACTGGACATCTGTGAGAAAAAAAAAAGCTTTATAGCTCCTACAGTATAAACAAATATTCTTATATTCTGAAATAAAATATTTTTAATTATTAGTTTGAAAAATAAGGACCGCCCGCCACCCAACTCCGCTTGGGAAGCTTCTGTATCCGCCTTCGGCGACCGGCGACAGCATCCCGTCGCACGTCCCCACGGAGAGATAACCACGGCCGCCTTCTCGCACGCGCGCGGCGCCCAGGCTGTCGAAGCTCACGCGCCTCTACCTGTCCAACAACGGGCTGGAGGAGCTCGCGCCCGGCAGCTTCGACGACCTCCGGCGCCTGGAGATCCTGCGGCTGGGCCACAACTCCCTGAGCACGCTGCCCGGTGGGCTGCTCGACCGCCTCGCCGCCCTGCAGGAGGTCTACCTGCACAACAACCCGTGGGGCTGCGGCTGCGGCGACGACGAGGCCTACCTGCGGCGCTGGGTGTCGCGCAACGCACCGCGTGTCAAGGTGTTCGCTGGGGAGACATACCCCGACAGCGCGCGCTGCGCCGGGGACGGCTCGCCGCTCCGGAGCAGCGGGGCCTCGTGCGCCACCGGCCCTGCGTTCAACGGCAGCTTCTTCCTGGGGTGACGGCCGCCGGCCGCCCCGCCTACCCACCCACCAACTCACCCATCCACCCACCAGTTCACTCATCCACCCACCCACCACCTCACTCACCCACGCACCTACTCACCCACCGACCAACTCTATGTACGGTGCGAATGAAGTTCAACGAACATACACCGATACAACTTCTTCGGCCGTTTCCTGACAAAGTGAGATTTTCTCCACCAGGCTGCAAGAGTTCAGGAATAACTTTATTTTGTTCGCATGCGTATGATAACACGATCATTGTCATAAAATAAAACAAAATATGCAAAAGTAGAATCAGCTAATTGGGTGCTTTATATTGTTAAATTTTAAAGCAAGTGCTTGGGTAATGAAGTATAATTTTGAGAGGAAATGAGTGAGCCAATGTGCATCAGTTCCTCAGCAAACTCTACTTTGTAATGCATTGCACAAGTTTGTGTTTGGCAGTTTAATGCAACAATAAACACATTCCTGCAGAGGGAGCTGGTAGGGACGTTGGGTTGCTCGGTCAATGGCCAGGGTCAACGACGGCACCACGTGGTGTATTCCGCAAATATGCCCGACTGTGAGGGCGGGCACAAGCCGGCGTGAGTAGGTTAAACGTTGAGTTTTATAAGGGCACCACGGGGTGACCAGCCCCTCCCCATCCAGCCCCACCCCTCCCACCCCCCACCCAGCCCCACCCTCCCCATCCAGCCCCTCCCCACCCTCCCCACCCAGCCCCTCCCCACCCTCCCCTCTCCACCCAGCCCCACCCCTCCCATTTTTGGATGCACGACGGACGGACACAATAATCCCCTGTGGGCTGCTGGTGTAACCAGGAGGTTCCTACCAGTAATATTTGCATTAGCGGTTTGGATAAAAGCCCCGCACTTGTTTATATATTTTGGTGTGATAGCAGTGCTACGGATGACTTGAGTGCTTCTGGCATGGGCTATTGAAATACACACGGGGCGTCACGGTGAGCTAGGAGATGTTAACTACCTCGCCTGGTACACAGGAGGTCGTGGCTTCGATCCCCACCCTGACGCCTGCTGTATATTTGGGGTTTGTATTGCTCTTCCCCCGTGGTCGCATCTAGAAAAAATGCTCCGAGAGCATTTAACTGCTATGAATTTCCAAACGACGAGCTTCTGTCTAGCTCAGTGGGCCTTACGTGGTTTAAATAAACAACTGCACCAAAACAAATGCACGACGATGGTGGCACCGTGAGTCACCGTTGCAATCGCAACGCGTGCCAAGGTGTGTGCGTTACATAAGTTTCCCCATCACGGCGGCACAAACGATGCAACGCTTCGCAGACCGACCCGCCTTCGCATCGCGATGCACGCACAGCGGATTGCGCAAGAGTCGACGCGTTCCACGTGACCGCCTGTGACCAGAGCAAAGCGGGCTGCCCCCCTGCCCCCCTGCCCCCCAATCTCGTCGGATTTTCGGCGGCTAAGCAGGTACCGAGCCTGGATGGCGCTTCGGATGGGCCCGCTACCCTGGCGCCGCAAGGTTCAGTACAGGCGGCTTTGGCTTCGTGGCTGTCAGCAGAGGGCAGTACAGCAAGCGTCCCTTGTTGCGTAATGACGTCCCGATTTACGTCTCCACCCACCCCCCCCCGCCCACCGCTTTTAAGTTGTTTAGCAAACGACGTCGTCGCTTCATTGACGACGCTACCCGATTTACGTCGCCGCAACCCCCACACGCTGAACGTCGCATCGTCGTCCGTTCTTTCTCGTTATCCGCAGCCTCTCAGCCTTTGCCTCCAGCACCCACCCGCCCACTGCTGCTGCTGCTGCTGCCCTTCATGATAAAACGTTTTTGGGTTAGATCGCGTGAGTTGTAAATGTGTCGTAACCCTCCACCACCCGGCACTGCTACCCCGGTGCATCGCCTCGATTTACGATCGTTTCGATATGTTCGTCGTCGCACCCCTCACGAACGCATCCCCCCGACGTAAACCGGGGTATCACCAGGGGCGGAGTCACGGGGGGGGGGGCTTAGCCCCCCCTGAAATGTTGGGAAAGTCGCTAATCGGGAAAGCCGGATATCCGGCTGCTGCTCAATGCTGGCTGCCACCTCGTGCTGCCCTGCAGGCTGCCACCTCGTGCTGCCACCTCGTGCTGCCCTGCAGGCTGCCACCTCGTGCTGCCACCTCGTGCTGCCACCTCGTGCTGCCCTGCTGGCTGCCATCTTGTGCTGCCACCTTGTGCTGCCCTGCAGGCTGCCACCTTGTGTGCTGCCCTGCAGGCTGCTTGAGCGGCAGCCTTTCGAACTTATCGAACTTATCAGCCACATCAGCGGCTCCGACCTATTAATAAACTCCGCGTTCAAATCCAATGAAATTTGTTTTATACATTTGTGGCGCCCATTGGAAAACATTACACTGGACATCTCAGAATATTGAAGTCAGCACCCCCCAAAGTCAAAATTCTGGCTCCGCCCCTGGGCATCACTGCTCTCTGCTGCCACGTTGATGCTCCACCACCTTTTTCCACCGCTTCACTGGTCAGCGTAGCGACGTCTGGTCAAATAACCATGGCACTGTCAAATAGCCATGGCACTGTCAAATAGCCATGGCACTGTCAAATAGCCATGGCACTGTCAAATAGCCATGGCACTGTCAAATAGCCATGGCGCTGTCAAATAACCATGGCACTGTCAAATAACCATGGCACTGTCAAATAACCATGGCACTGTCAAATAGCCATGGCGCTGTCAAATAACCATGGCGCTGTCAAATAGCCATGGCACTGTCAAATAACCATGGCGCTGTCAAATAACCATGGCGCTGTCAAATAACCATGGCACTGTCAAATAGCCATGGCAGTGTCAAATAGCCACGGCACTGTCAAATAGCCATGGCACTGTCAAATAGCCATGGCACTGTCAAATAACCATGGCACTGTCAAATAGCAATGGCACTGTCAAATAACCATGGCACTGTCAAATAACCATGGCACTGTCAAATAACCATGGCACTGTCAAATAGCCATGGCACTGTCAAATAACCATGGCACTGTCAAATAGCCATGGCACTGTCAAATAACCATGGCACTGTCAAATAACCATGGCACTGTCAAATAACCACAGCACTGTCAAATAGCCATGGCGCTGTCAAATAGCCATGGCACTGTCAAATAGCCATGGCACTGTCAAATAACCACGGCACTGTCAAATAGCCATGGCACTGTCAAATAGCCATGGCACTGTCAAATAACCATGGCACTGTCAAATAGCCATGGCACTGTCAAATAGCCATGGCGCTGTCAAATAACCATGGCACTGTCAAATAACCATGGCACTGTCAAATAACCATGGCGCTGTCAAATAACCATGGCGCTGTCAAATAGCCATGGCACTGTCAAATAACCATGGCACTGTCAAATAACCACGGCACTGTCAAATAGCCACGGTGCTGTCAAATAACCATGGCACTGTCAAATAGCCATGGCACTGTCAAATAGCCATGGCACTGTCAATATAACCATGGCACTGTCAAATAACCATGGCGCTGTCAAATAGCCATGGCACTGTCAAATAACCATGGCACTGTCAAATAACCACGGTACTGTCAAATAACCATGGCACTGTCAAATAGCCATGGCACTGTCAAATAACCATGGCACTGTCAAATAGCCATGGCACTGTCAAATAACCATTGCACTGTCAAATAACCATGGCGCTGTCAAATAGCCATGGCACTGTCAAATAACCATGGCACTGTCAAATAGCCATGGCACTGTCAAATAACCATGGCACTGTCAAATAACCATGGCACTGTCAAATAGCCATGGCACTGTCAAATAACCATGGCACTGTCAAATAACCATGGCACTGTCAAATAGCCATGGCACTGTCAAATAGCCATGGCGCTGTCAAATAACCATGGCACTGTCAAATAACCATGGCGCTGTCAAATAGCCATGGCACTGTCAAATAACCATGGCACTGTCAAATAGCCATGGCACTGTCAAATAACCATGGCACTGTCAAATAACCATGGCACTGTCAAATAACCATGGCACTGTCAAATAGCCATGGCGCTGTCAAATAACCATGGCACTGTCAAATAACCATGGCACTGTCAAATAACCACGGCACTGTCAAATAACCATGGCACTGTCAAATAGCCATGGCACTGTCAAATAACCATGGCAGTGTCAAATAGCCATGGCACTGTCAAATAACCATGGCACTGTCAAATAACCATGGCGCTGTCAAATAGCCATGGCACTGTCAAATAGCCATGGCACTGTCAAATAACCATGGCGCTGTCAAATAGCCATGGCACTGTCAAATAGCCATGGCACTGTCAAATAACCATGGCACTGTCAAATAACCATGGCACTGTCAAATAGCCATGTCGCTGTCAAATAACCATGGCACTGTCAAATAGCCATGTCACTGTCAAATAACCATGGCACTGTCAAATAACCATGGCACTGTCAAATAGCCATGGCACTGTCAAATAACCATGGCACTGTCAAATAACCATGGCACTGTCAAATAGCCATGTCGCTGTCAAATAACCATGGCACTGTCAAATAGCCATGTCACTGTCAAATAACCATGGCACTGTCAAATAACCATGGCACTGTCAAATAGCCATGGCACTGTCAAATAGCCGTGGCACTGTCAAATAACCACGGCACTGTCAAATAGCCATGGCACTGTCAAATAGCCATGGCACTGTCAAATAACCATGGCGCTGTCAAATAAGCATGGCCCTGTCAAATAACCATGGCACTGTCAAATAACCATGGCACTGTCAAATAGCCACGGCACTGTCAAATAGCCATGGCACTGTCAAATAGCCATGGCACTGTCAAATAACCATGGCGCTGTCAAATAGCCATGGCACTGTCAAATAGCCATGGCGCTGTCAAATAGCCATGACACTGTCAAATAACCATGGCACTGTCAAATAACCATGGCACTGTCAAATAATCATGGCACTGTCAAATAACCATGGCGCTGTCAAATAGCCATGACACTGTCAAATAACCATGGCGCTGTCAAATAGCCATGGCATTGTCAAATAACCATGGCACTGTCAAATAACCATGGCGCTGTCAAATAGCCATGGCACTGTCAAATAACCACGGCACTGTCAAATAACCATGGCACTGTCAAATAGCCATGGCACTGTCAAATAACCATGGCAGTGTCAAATATCCATGGCACTGTCAAATAACCATGGCACTGTCAAATAACCATGGCACTGTCAAATAACCATGGCGCTGTCAAATAACCATGGCACTGTCAAATAATCACGGCACTGTCAAATAGCCATGGCACTGTCAAATAACCATGACACTGTCAAATAACCATGGCACTGTCAAATAGCCACGGCACTGTCAAATAGCCATGGCACTGTCAAATAGCCATGGCACTGTCAAATAACCATGGCGCTGTCAAATAGCCATGGCACTGTCAAATAGCCATGGCGCTGTCAAATAGCCATGACACTGTCAAATAACCATGGCACTGTCAAATAACCATGGCACTGTCAAATAACCATG